GTTCTGAACATTATGTTCAGAAATTATAGCAATGCCTTGGGTAATAATATATGCCAAATTTTATGAAGACACCTTGGCAAATAAAAGTTTTCCATACAAGCACTTGATTCTGATCATTCAGTTTGTATGGCAGCTATATGTTATAGTGGTCCGATATCAGTTTCGACAAATGAGCAGCTTCTTGATGAGAAAAAAACGTGTATGAAAAATCAAATCGATATCGAAAAAACTGAGAGATTAGTTCGCGTATATACAGACGGACGGACGAACGGACGGACGAACGGACGGACAAACAGACGGGCATGGTTAAATAGACTCAACTCGTCACGCTGCTCATTTATAAATATACTTTATATATATATATTTTTGGGTCTTACAAACATCGTCACAAATTTAATATGCCCTGTTCAATGTATAAGAAACTACTTATTGTATCTATTATTTAAACATTTGAAGGGTATTTTTATACATACTACTTTCAAAATACACAGTGAAACTTTTAAAGAAAAAAATTAAATATTTTATTATGTTTCGCGTCAAATGCGATATTCGACGGCGACTAAAAAAGATCATTCACTGCCGCAGTAATTACAGCTTACTCGTTCTCGTTATGGAAAAATTCTCTACTCTCCGTACAATGAATTACGGTCGAAAAAAATTAAAAACTGGCAAAGTGGCCAAAAAAAAAGTTGAAATTTACAAAAAAAATTAGTGATTTTTGACTTTGTAAAAAACTCGTTTTTTTACTTGAATGAAACTACATAAATAGAAAATGTAGAAAATTTTTATAGTGATCGGATCATTTGTTTCCGATTAATCACTTAAGCAAATTTGAAAAATGTAGTTTTGAGAAGAAAGCGTTGAAAATAAAACTGGTGGAAGGCTATAACTCAATAACTAATGAGATATCGATTTAAAATTTTAGTTTATTTTTTAAAGTTATAACCTATCGAAAATATATTTTTTTAAGATGCAAGAAATTATTCGATAGATATCAAAATATTCGCAAAAGAGCGCCAAGGAAAAGAGAGAGCCGATTTCAAGTATTTTGGGTTTCAAATTATATTGTGTTATTCGAATCTAGGTAAAAATATTAACATATTTAACTCAAATATGATCATAAATCGCATTAGTCTAAGCGAAACAAACTCCCAAAATATTATCGTGAATTTTTATCGTTATATCCGTAAATGTGCGACCGGCAGAATGTGGAACCGTACACTCGCTATACGGGGGTGGTGGAAATCTCGGACTGTTTTTTACTATTTTTAGTAGTACTCATTACGATATCTTTATTTAAAGTAAATAGAGTTCTATTGCAGGTGGGCGTCCTAAATTTTCAAACTATATAAGAGAACGGTTTATCTTCATTACCAAATTGAGTTCAAATTGTTTAGATTATTTGTGATTTTCACTTATACTATAAATAATACTAAACGATGCTTGACTAGAAGCAAAAAATTGCTACCGATTTTTATTATTATATGCCATATTTACCTATATATATAAGGCTATTATGTTACACAAGCTCAGTGAGCAGTCATGTATTGCTTAAATACATATATATCTAGGTGAAATTTCCATTGCCGTTATGCTATTTATATCACGTTAGACTTTTCTTCTAGACTCCTGCGCGGTAGGCAACCTCATTTGCATTTGCTCCAAATGGCAAGCCATCAGGCGTCACTTCAACTAGTTTATATCACATTCGAACTCATAAAGTTACTTGTTTATAGTCAGGTGCTTATTTTTTATCCCATTGTCGTCATAGTCTTTGTACACCTCTCCGTGTTGTTGGCTACATATTCCATATACCTTGAACAAATGTGTGTGTTTGTGCTGCCATTTGCTTCGTTTCACTTTTAACGAGTATTTACCACTTTCTTTTTCACTTTCAGTAGGCTAAGGTGTGGGTCTGGGTCTACCGGTTTTCACTCTTTCGTGCCTTAAATTTTTTTGTTTTCTATTCATTTTTTTCGGCAATTTTGAATCGTTTGTATTTCGTTTTTTATCTGACCTTTAGCCGAATTGCGACGGTTAAGTTAGCGCGTGGTACAAGCAGGTGTTGGAAGGAGTTTCGCAATCGTTTGTTGATGTTCAACTATATTCGGTTGTAGCGGACCACCACATCCACCATTTCGTTTGCATGAAATTATTAATTTTTGACTCGGAAAGAGAGCTGAGGCACATCGCCGGTGATGATTGCGTGCGCTTAAATAATAATTTTTTTTTTTATATAGCATACATTTAGGCGTTTAATATGGCAATGGCTTATGAAGTCTATATTTCTACTGAGTGCCAAGTAATTGCTCACAAAGGGTTGGCATTATTTATTTCGCCATTGTATCTTTGTTGGTATGTGATATACCTATGCTATAACCTCTTTCATTTCAGTGGTTCTAAACTACTGATGAGTCATAAACTTTTTATTGCTCTATGACTAATAGACAAATAGCTCTATCGTTCCAGTTTTTCTTTTTTAAGGGGTTTAAAATAATAAATCAGTTGTTTAATGAAAAGAGTCGCTACTAGAAATTATATGACATTTTTTTTTTTTAAATTCACTGCCTAAGTCACGTATATTGAGTTTTTCTTGTCCGTTGTAAATACCGCTGGTATTTCAAAAATATTTTTATACATTAAGACTTCAAATATTAACTTCGCTTCTCTCTTCTCTCTTCTCTTCAACTATCCTTTCCTTAACACGAAATAAAACTTTGGATACACTTGCGCCCATAAGAAATATTTAGATATGTACCATATATATGCACATAAGCACGTCATTGTTGGCATCGTAGCATAGACCGAGTAGTTGTGTAGATTTACTCAGTAAAATTAAAGTCTCAGTGTTGAAAGTATGTCTAAAGCAGTTATTTGTGAGTCATAATTCCTTCAAACCAGTTGTGTGTGTAGATATGTTTCCTTGTATGCATATTTATGACTTGGTATATGGTATAAATTGAACATATGACGTATTGTGCCGACTAAAAATGCATAAACATCGTTTCTGATTAAATTTATTGTTGCAGTTTTGAATAGGAAAGGCTATCGGAAGGATTTTTTCATCTTTATATTCACTTCACATAGAAATGAATGTAATATGTCATGGAAATGAGTTTATTTAATCGCTTAATATAAATTCAAAAACCCCTATAGGAACATTTTTTGCAAATCGCCATATATTATTTAACTTTAACGCCATGTAGCATCTAGTTACCGATTGAGTTGTTATACAGAGAACAGAACATATATTCCAGTTACACTGCGAATGTCACTATACAGTTTCAGCAAAAAAAATTCTTTAACCGTTTGCTGTCTGGTTAGTTTAGCTTAAAAGGTCGATCCTATTGCAATCGTCATAATCGATTTTACTTGGACAGCTTAGAACGCGGGTCCGTTGGGCTACCCAAGACCTCCATATAATATTCATAAAGACCCATATAGTTCGACGTAGTGTTTTGTGCCTATCACTCTCTTGGCTTACCGTAAGTATGAATATTTCACGATTTTACATTTAATAAAACGTTAAAATCTTTTATTTTTTTGTTCGAAATATTTAAACTTCTCATATGAATCAAACGTATACACATATGTACATATTCTTGGTCTGGAAATTTAATCTCAATTTACCCTTACAATTTTCCTACTGGGTATTGTTTTATGTGACATAAATTTTCCGCTAATAAGAGATTGCTGATTACCGTAATGACATTCAAATTTAATGTAAAGCAAAATGAAAAGTTGGAAAATTGCTCGCCTAACAAAATGTTGCGCGTTTGGAAGACAATGACATTGGAAACATTTGAAATATTTAGTTGGAACCGGTTCAAAGCTCGACAAACTGGAAGTAACTGCTGGCTACTTGAAAAGCTGCGTGTTTTCACTTGTACCCAGCTCGATAGTTTTGGGAAAAGCATTTTTTGTGCGATTTTCGCATGCAAATTCAGTTAATGTCTACATATCTGACAGTTAACAAAAACGTCAAATTGTTCAATATCCGGCGTTGCCATTGTAATACAGGTGGCACGAGCTTATTGTAAATGTTTTCAATTTTTATTGTTATTATTGCTAATTGGTGGCAATTAAGAACCAACTGAATTGTATTTGTTCTAATATTACAATAAAGTACTTTTGTTTAGCATTTCCTATATTGTTGTACAATAAAAATGCTATTGTAAATTATTTAGTTATTTTTGATGGTATTTATTTTCAGTCCGAATTTTTAACAATTTTTTTTTACATTCACACTAATTTCTCTTTGCTATGCTTTCAAAATGTCTAATGTTGTACTTTTCAAATAGAAATATATCTGTCCCGCCACCTATGCTTCATCATCATCACCCACAAGCCGTTTTGTTTTGTGTTGACATCTTAATTGTTGTCAATTTGTACTCCTCCAATTGCAGTCAAGTTGATAATTTAATTGTGTGCTAGTTCGCAAAGCGTGTAGTCGTGTAAAATTTCACTTTTCGTTCTTATTTAACACAACTTAATCCTTGATCCTTGCTTGTACGCGGTGACATTTATAAATAGTTGCGAAACCTTTGCAAACATAATAAATTGTTGGTGTTGGTGTTGGTAATGATGTAACTGCGTGTCATCTAAATGATTTGGTTGGCTACAAGCGAAAGTCATAAATAATAAAACAAAATTTTATAAAGAAAGCTATGCAGTTCGAGCCAAATTTGATCAGATGCTGATGGTCAGTGAGAGCTACCTCACTGATTGTAGTCTAAATTGTTGCGAGATGCAGCTGAAAAATTCGTAGGGTGAATTTTATTTTAGTGAGAGAAAATAAGCTGTGCTAACAACTATTTCGGAGTTGGGTTAGTGTCACGAATCGCATCTTAGCCACACGAATGCAACTAATCAACCATTTACCTACTTTATAAGCGTGCCTAGCGTGGAAATATTGTAGGATGTTGATTATAGCAGTGAAAAATTTGCAAATATTTATTTATAATTATATATCATATTTATCTATCATAATTTTTTTCCAGACATGTTACTGTTCTCTCTGACGGATCAACTATTATGCTGTCCTAAACACCAGGTATATAAAAAAAAATAGATTTAAAAAAAATGTTAAATACAATTTTTTTTATTTTTCTTTTCCTGCTTGCAGAAAACAAAGACAAGCATTGCAAAAACAGCAGCAGCAACAACAAAAACAGCAACTACTAAACTCTATAAAACTTTATAACAAGAGATTTTCGTTTTCGTGCAATTTTAAGAAAAGCAACAACAACAGCCAAGCGACAACACAGAAAAGTTGACGCAAACATTTCTTAAAATCACCGAAAAATAAACGAAACGGAAAAAGGCGTGTCAGCTACACAGCAAAATAGAAATTAAATTGCAAACAAATTACGCTTAAAGCGATAAACAAATTAAAACTCTTTTTAAAAAAGGAAAACGAAACGATAAACTACAAAGAATTTAAATTTTAAAATATTTTTCGAGTACACAATTTAACCAACCAAATTCGTTAAAGAGGGGAAATTACATTTTATTTCCGTTCTAGGTACATGTAATATAGTTTGGCATAGCTTGCTTTTAGGCGCAGTTAGTTTGGTGACAACTAAACTAGCTGCCTTAGAAAATAAAACTATTTAAGCTTAGCTTAACTATAAGCGCTACACGGCGTCGCTTTGAATTATACTAAAAATTTCATATTTTCGTAATGAAAATTGCCAACATGAAATTTAAGCGCAAATATGGCTGTTTAAATATTTGAAAAATAATATTAGTGTATTTTTCGAATAGTTTATTTCATAGTATTTTATAAGTTTACAAACATTATAAATAAATCCCTTGTCTAACTAATCCTGTATCTGTCTGTTTGTGTCTTCTGTAAACCCCCTACCCACCTACTGGTTAGATTAAACACATACACTTACACTTACACATACATACATAAAGCGCTACTCATACACATAAAATTTAATAATATTTAAGCTATCTTAGCTAAACACTAAAGGGCATACTTTTGTAATTATACAGCTGGCATTTGTAGTATTTGATTCAAGCAGACGCTTAATAATTTCAAGATTTTTTTCACAATTTCCTACCGCTCCTCTTACCAAGTGTATGCTTAATATTTTTTTTTGAAATTTTGTAACAAATTTTTTTCAATATACACATTAATAAATGTAAAACCGTTAAATCAAATGATATTATAATCAAATTACCAATAAAACAATAACAATTACATAAATCGTTAAATTAATTGTACTTAAAAAATAATAACAACGTGCAACATGGATGCTTTTTCGCCCGATTTGCTATGGATGGTCGTGCTCGGCTTTCTGATCGCTTTTGTGTTGGCATTCGGTATTGGCGCTAACGATGTGGCAAATTCTTTTGGCACGAGCGTTGGTTCGGGTGTGCTAACTATAAGACAAGCTTGCGTACTGGCGACAATATGTGAAATTTCCGGTGCAGTTTTGATTGGTGAGTGCACTCATTATTAATATTGGCAAACTGAGAGCTAAAAATATTTAAGTGAAAACAGTTTACTAAATATTATAAATTTTTTGACCTTTGACCTAGAGTATTTTTTGACACATACCGGCACGTTAAGGAGTTTTAGCGCGTAATTTTTAATCATGTTTTGAACATACTCACTAACTTTAAGCTTGTTGTAAATTTATATAACCTTGAATGTATATTTTGTCCAAATTATAATGGATTATGCTTTACACCTTCTTCTATTTTTCGTTCACATCTATAGGTTACAAAGTTTCGGACACTATGCGTAAAGGTATTTTGGAAGTTGGTCTTTACGAAGACGCCGAAGAGGAATTAATGCTCGGCTGTGTCGCTGCGCTGGCAAGCAGCGCTATTTGGTTGCTGGTCGCCACATTTCTCAAGCTACCTATTTCCGGTACACACAGTATTGTCGGTTCAACAATTGGTTTTTCGTTGGTGGCACGTGGTACACAAGGTCTTAAATGGTCCACATTGGCCACCATTGTTGGTTCATGGTTTATATCGCCGGTGATGAGTGGTTTGGTCAGTATTTTACTCTTTTTGGCAATACGTAAATTTATTTTGCGCGCCAGCGATCCACTAAAGGCGGGATTTCGCTCATTGCCGATCTTCTACGGTGTCACTTTTTTCATAAATGTCATTAGTGTGGTGTTGGATGGACCGAAGTGTGAGTGTTCATAGAACCGCAAACTAATTTGACAAGAATTTATATATTTATTATATTTTTTTAACAGTACTTTACATGGATAACATTCCCACCGGTATTGCTATAGGCGCGAGCATTGGGCTCAGCTTGCTGGTAGCACTACTTACCCAACTAATTGTTGTACCAATTCAAAAACGTAAAATCGCTAAACAATTACGCGCTCAAAACCCTGTCAAATTCAATTTTGAGGACTCTGTTGGTGCGTAGAAGTTTTAAAAAAAATTTGATAAAATACAAAAAAAAATGCTAACCACACATTTACCTTGCAGAATCCTCACCGTCCGGTAGTCCTAAGAAAAATCGTCGTCCATTATCACTCGTTAGCGATGGCAAACAATTGCCAGCAATTGCCGAAATCACCGAACTCGTCTCATTAACCGAAAATTCACCAAAAACCTTTAAGTTAGCACCTTATGGGGTTAATAAAAATGGTCATGTGACCACACCAAACAACGGTTATACTGCAGATGGCTACAAGATTAATCCGGAAATAATAAAGAAAGCCGAGGATTTGCTGGGCAAAGCCAGTTTGGATAATACGGATTTGACCATTACTAGTTTGAATTTCATTGACGAGCAATATCAGAATGGCAATGGCAATGGATTGCTGCAGAATGCCAATAGGAATAACAATACTACCGGTATGATATTGAATGGTGGTGGTCAGCCCAGTCAGCTGCAGGAATATTTCAAGCCGAGCGTAAAATCACCTTTGTTGGATAAAAACAGCTTTGAACATTCCAATGAGCTTCCAGCACATCAGCAACAGCTGCTCGAAAGCAATCAATCACCCGGCTGTATTGCAAATAATAAAATTACACAAACTGCCATGGACACAAATACCACCAACACTGTTACAACCGAACACACCACAACTTCTGCACCCGCTATTGCGCTAACCGGTGATGGAAAGTCACAAATTTTGGATGTGATAGTTACGAAAGCGACCACAACTACGTTGGAGCCCGTTACAACATCCACAACTGCCAAAAAGGATTTGAAAGTGGTTGAAAGCGGTAGCAGTTTGGAAATGATGATAACATCAACCTTATCACCGAATTCCAGCAAAATTCCATTAATTGAAAGCAAAGAATTGATACACGATTTTAAGCAGACGCGCAATGCACCAGCGCACAATGACGAGGAGTCGGAGGAGGTGTCAATGCTATTTTCATTTTTACAAATTTTAACTGCAACTTTTGGTAGTTTCGCACATGGCGGTAATGATGTGAGGTAAATGAGTAAAAAAAAATTATAAAAACACACAAACAAAGTAAAAATAATTTTTTCTTGTCTTCTATTTTTTAGCAATGCCATTGGACCACTAATCGCGCTGTATATGATTTATAGAGAGGGTTCTGTGATGCAAAAGGCCGAAAGTCCCATTTATATTCTGATCTATGGAGGTATTGGTATCTCAGTGGGTCTATGGCTGTGGGGACGACGGGTCATTGAGACAATCGGCAATGATTTAACAAAAATCACATCATCCACGTAAGTACCATATGTTTATGAGGATAGCGAAATTTTAAATCTACACAATATCTATATTTTACTGATGCTATGAAGTTTATAAAACGATAAATTTGCCTTGCTTCCACTTTCAGCGGCTTTACTATCGAGGTCGGTGCCGCGATCACGGTGCTTTTGGCGAGCAAAATCGGCTTACCCATTTCAACGACGCATTGCAAAGTCGGTTCAGTGGTTTTTGTTGGACATGTGAGCGCCAAGGGACATAAACCAGTGAAAGCGGAATTCTCAAAAGAGGCATCAGTGGAAGGCGGTGCTATTACATCGTCCACTGCTACCACGCCAACAACAACAGCGAACGCAAATGAAATAAGCGCTAAAATGACGGTGTCCTCATCGACGAGTGCGAATGCTATAGCCAATGGCGCCGGTGGTGTAGAGACTATTGCTACTGGTGATGGTGCTGCTGCTGCTGCGGGTGTTGCTGTCGGTGCTGTCGATTGGCATTTGTTCAGAAACATTGCCTATGCTTGGATTGTGACCGTGCCGGTTACGGCGCTGCTCTCAGCTGGCATAATGTTTCTGATGTGCAGCATTGTTTTGGTCTAAGGCAAGTGTCCAACCATATGCATCAAGGCGTTTGATTACGAAGTAAATATTAAAAAAAAAAGTACCATGTTACAATTATTAAGTATTCATCAAACTTACTAACGTAAGCGTATCTACATATGTACACATTAACGATATTGTACTTATTATGATAATGTAATTTATTGTTATTATTATAAAAAAGCGATTAAAAGAAAATATGATATACACAATTAAATTAAAAATTATTAAAACAAAATTTGGCAGCGAATATGGAATAATTGTAAACAAGTTTGGAAAAAAGGGAAGCGTTACATTTTAAATATTTGAATATTCGTGAATTGAGTTCAATTGTAAGTGCCAGTTAGTCTGCCAGTCAGCGTCAATGCATGGACTCCATATAAACAGAATAAAAAATAAATATTATTATTAAATTTAATTAAATATTAAACGAAAAATTAAAAAAAAAGTAATATTTACAATGGAAGAAACTAAGTACATATAATTAATTAAAGCATGAACTAAGTATTTCGTGCGTTGATTGTTTGATTTGATCGTCGTTTAGTCATGTCCGTATGATATTTGAAACAAAAGTGTTTTTAAATGTGGTTTAAAAAACAAAATTAACAAACAAAAGGTAAAAAAAAATTATATTAATTCAAAGAACTCAGTGGCTACCGGTTGATATTGGCAAAATAATAAAATATTCCATTAAAAGCAATCGATCTTTTTTATTTTTTATTACGGTAAATTGAATACACGTTAATGGAATAGCAACAAAAAAAAAATATATATATAATCATATATTACAAAATTATATTGAAATTTTTTAGGCTTATAAAAATATTATGAAAATTAATATTTGAAAAATTGTGTATGGAGTATGTTAAACCTTATTTTTTAATAAAATATTGTCTAACAATTAAAAGCAGTTAACGATAAGCGCTCGAAAAATGCCTGTCATTAACCAGATTTATGTTCCGTTTCCTACTCTGTTCAGTTAATTGTTTCAAAACTCATTGTTATTTTTTTGAACAGCAACTGTTTTCCTCGTCTCAACCTCGACTTAAATGAATTTATTGTTTCTAAAACAACAAAACTTAGCGAAACAATAATTTAATTTTTAAACAAACACCTTGTAGAATAAACTCGTACAAGTACACTATTAAAAAAAACAACATTATTAGTTATGAAATTAGTTAAAACAATAAAAGTAGCAAAACTACGCTATAAATATTATAGCTGTAAACATATTTGGTTAAATTTAGTTGTGGACGGAAATGAATTTTGATATGTTGACAAAAAAGTAAATAATTTTAGGTATCCAAGTATTTAGAGTACTACAAGTACATGCAATTGTAGTTGTAGTTGAAAATATTAAAGCAGCGATAGAAAATTGCAAATAAATAAAACAGAACACAATTAAAATAATATGATTAAAGGCTGCATGCAAAGTAATGGCTGAAGGATGTCATAACTTATAAAGCTATGCATATATGGCAACAAAAAAATGTAATGCAGTTGGCTTAAAAGTTCATTAAATCGAATAAAGATAATATTTTATTATTTGGTTTTTGCTCAAAATATTTTTCAGTGATAAAACAAAAATATTTTTTTATATTAAAATAAGTTTTGTTTGAACTTAGTATAGTGAACTAGTTTTGAAACTTAAAACTTGGTACTTAAATTTTAAAATTTTGTTTTATAGAAAAAATTGTGTTTGCAAAACTTTCTTAAATTTTATTTCACTATCATTAAAGTATAAAAAATGAAGCTATAAATATCCAACACAAATCTTAGAAATCGAAATTTTTCTGAACAACTTAAATTCTATGTTCGAATTGAGTAGTGATACGCCATTTAAGTACAAGTCGTTTTGTAATAAATATTCTTTCTAAGCAATTCAAATACTAAATTAAGTTTTATAACAAAAATTATATTTAAAACATTTTTTTTAAGTAAGTACAAACCTTGTTTCTTAAATTTTTATACATTTTAATTACTATATAAATTTTTGTTTATCAATAGAAATTTTTTTAAATTATTTTTTATTTTTTAAAGAAAATATAAGCAGTTGTATCGCAGCATAAGTAATTTCAGAAAACAGCATTAAAAACAGTAATAACAGCAAACAACTGTTAAAGTTTTAAATAATCAGAAGACGCATACTTTTCATTAAAAAATTACAAATTTGTAAACTTCGAGACCCAAAGTGGAAGAATGAAATGTCAATATTAGTAGCTAAACAAATAATTAAATATAACTGAAAAAATGTATAAGAACAAACAGTTTTATTGTAGTTGTGTATGTGACTAAAGGGTAATAAGTAATTACCAAAAAACTTTTAAACAAACAACAGAACAACAACCTAGTTAGTTAAGCTAATATATACGCAAGGGCAGTAGTAAAAAAAAACAATATTTCCGATACAAAGAGTAAATTCAAAGTAGAGTAAACCCGAAAAATACATATAACAAAGACAAACAACAAACACCTATATTTTTATTTTTATTACAGCGAGGCTAAAAATTGTTTATAGATTACTAATAACACGCTAAGACTAACTTCTCGTTTAATAAATTTTCGAAATACTTTTTGTTTTTGAAAACTTTTCTACAAATTATGAATGAAATCACCAGAATGTCTACTTTCAAAGCTTAAACCTTAAAATAAAAATATGGTTTAAATGGCATTAACTCTCTTAACAAATATAAAATAGTTCAGCAAATGGCTAAGCCTAACAAGAAATATTTTATCAAAACATACGCCAGCCCTATAAAACTCTAATCAAAAGCTCATTTCATTATAAGTTTATAAAAGCTTTGAAAGGTTACCGAAATTTTTTAAACAAAAATAATAATAATAATTAAAGAATAATAGTTGAGTTATAATAAATAAACTGTCATAAGTTCCTCGCAAAGTTTTGTTTAATTTGTTGTACTAATTTTACAAAAGCGCGAAAGTCAACCCTTTAGAATATGTTTTTCCCCGATGGAACTCCGACTTACTGCTTTTATAAGTAGGTGGTACACTGAAAAGTTTCAAAGCTTGAGAATTTAGGTCTGTTTCACAAATACATATGTCAGCGCCATAAATTTCCATTTGGGAAAATATATAGATCACATCGTAAAGACCGCTATATACATACAAGTATATACAACAAGTAAGGAAATGGTAAATTCAGATGTAACCGAACATTTTATACTCTTGCAACATCAGGTGTAGAAAAATCAATATTAAACTAGAAAAAACTTGAACTTCAGCTGCACTGAAGCAAAAAAAGGTAGAGGAAGATCTTTATCTTGATATTGATCGTTCAGTTGGTATGGCAGCTACATGCTATGGAACAAAAGAAAGTGTGCAACTTTGTTTACACTTAAAGGTGTTAATTACCTTTTTGTTAATAGTGACCTCTTTGTTTACGTTGTGAGTTCAATGACCCAATTGTTTATATTTTATAAGGGCATTGAACCCTTTGTTTACATTTTATGAGATTAATGACCCTTTTATTTACATTTAGCAAAGTCCACAACCATTGTTTACATTTAGCCAAGACAACAACCTTTGTTTACATTTGGGGTCAATGAACCTTTTGTTTACATTTTATGGAGTCAGTAAACTCCTTGTTTACATTGTGAGGTCAATGACACTATTGTTTACATTTTATAAGGGCAATAAACCCTTTGTTTACATTTTATAGGGTCAGTAAACCCTTTGTTTACATTTTATGAGGTTAATTACCCTTTCGTTTATATTTAGCAGAGTCCACAACCATTGTTTACATTTAGCCAAGACAACAACCTTTGTTTACATTTGAGGTCAATGACCCTTTTGTTTACATTTTATGGGGTCAATAACCTCTTTGTTTACATTGTGAGGTCAATGACCCTATTGTTTACATTTTGCCAAGGTCAATGAACCCTTTGTTTACATTTTATGAGGTAAATGACCCTTTTGTTTATATTTAGCAAAGTCCACAACCATTGTTTACATTTAGCCAAGACAACAACCTTTGTTTACATTTGGGGTCAATGACCCTTTTGTTTACATTTTATGGGGTCAGTAACCTCTTTGTTTACATTGTGAGGTCAATGACCCTATTGTTTACATTTTGCCAAGGTCAATGAACCCTTTGTTTACATTTTATGAGGTTAATGACCCTTTTGTTTATATTTAGCAAAGTCCACAACCATTGTTTACATTTAGCCAAGACAACAACCTTTGTTTACATTTGAGGTCAATGACCCTTTTGTTTACATTTTATAGGGTCAGTAAACTCATTGTTTACATTGTGAGGTCAATGACCCTATTGTTTACATTTTGCCAAGGTCAATGAACCCTTTGTTTACATTTTAGGAGGTTAATTACGCTTTTGTTTATATTTAGCAGAGTCCACAACCATTGTTTACATTTAGCCAAGACAACAACCTTTGTTTACATTTCGGGTCAATGACGCTTTTGTTTACATTTTATAGGGTCAGTAAACTCATTGTTTACATTGTGAGGTCAATGACCCTATTGTTTACATTATATAAGGGCAATGAACCCTTTGTTTACATTTTATGAGGTAAAAGACCCTTTTGTTTATATTTAGCAAAGTCCACAACCATTGTTTACATTTAGCCAAGACAACAACCTTTGTTTACATTTGGGGTCAATGACTCTTTTGTTTACATTTTGCCGAGGTTAATGACCCTTCTATTTGCATTTTACGTACAGGGGACAGATGGACATGGCTAAAATGACTCAGCTCATGATGCTGATAATTTATATATTTATTTTATAAGGTATTTATAAGGCGTTTTCTTCTGGGTGTTACAAATTTAGTGTGCAGCTTTATATACGCTGTTCAGTTCTGATTACAATCCAATCTGGTATTTTATTAAGTTATATTATAGATCTTAGAGTCACTTAGTTTTATTGCTATATTTTACTTCGCGTGAGCTAAAATTGTATAAAAATCATTTTCATCTGAGATATAAATGATTTAAACTCAACCAAAAGGCTAATTTAATATATTCAGTTGATGTGCAAACGTCAACCAGTGGATCGGAATTCATTATATTAGGAATATGAGATTTAGTCTATGGCCAACTCCATCATTGCTTGTTGCATTAACCTTTGGCATTGCTTAGGTATACTCGAGAACATATTTCCATGAAATGTATAAATAAATAACTCACCGTAGACCGACATATTCGGAATAAGATTTGTTAGAATAACGTTTTAATTAGTTTGAAAATCTTAAACTACGTATATGGGGAGGGGTTTTGACATTAAATTGAGACTTATCTAAAACTTGGAAGTTATGATTACCGACAGTAAAATGCTATGATTACTCTGGATCATAGGCCTCAGAAAACCTATTCTAATGGGTTCGAAAAGTGAAGAAAAGTTACCTTTCACAGGTTAATTTTGATCTGAATTTGTTTTGTTTAAATGACAGCTATATGCTATAGTGGTCCGATCTAAACAATTTATTTGGACATTGTAGCGCTGCCTTAATCAATTATCGATTCCAATTTTTGTAAATACAAGTATATCTTGTCAAATAAAAGAAAACTCCATATATGGACTTGATTTTGATCGGTCAGTTTGTATGACAGCTATGTCCTATGGTAGCTCGATATTGGCAGTTCCAACAAAAGAGCAGCTTCTTATGGAGAAAATAAAAATTTGGCTGACTCGTTCGCGTATATACACACGGACATGGCTGATTTGACTCAGCTCATCACGTACATATATACATTATAAGGATGCCCATGCTTCCTCCTGGGTGTTACAAACTTCATGGCAAACTTAATATGCAAATTCGATGTAAACGAGTGTATTTAGAAAAATTGAGCTACCGAAACAAAAGTTACAAAGCTTAGCTTCATTGCCAACAGCTTTTTAATTTTCTGGTGTAAAAAAGCTCAAATGAAAACCGTCACAACGATATGGTAATTGAAAATTAAATATTACAAAATACTAGTGAGAAAATATACGCGTGATAACGAAGAGCCAAATAGGGATCTAATTTGGGAAAATTGTTTTAACCTTCGAATTAGTTGCTACAATATAACAATAAGTAAATATACAACTGTTTTCGGGTATTTTCTCATACATACTCGTATCATGAAGTACTCTACCGCTAATGGCGTTATCGAGGCACTTATTTATTAGTTGCTAATTGAAAAAGTTGCTAATGATACATAACAATTATCAGAAGTAGCAAATATTTATTTTGGAATTCATTCTACTTTTGAGAGCATTTTCGCAAATGTTTTTCTATTATGGTTCTCATTACGGTTTCTTATTTACCAATTCGCGTGAAGACACATGTGAGCCACCCACTTGCTGCTATTGCTTCGCTGAGGAAATGCAAGTCGATTTATATTTATTTATTCACTCAGTTAAAAATCGGTCTATTTTTGGTTGAACAAAGTAATTTTCTTGTGTGTTATCTTTTTGTTGGCTTCAAGTACACAAATATGTAAATATACTTTTGCCAATTCCACTTTTGCTTTGAGAATGCATGTGTATAGTTGTTATTGTTTTTTCGCATGACTATATGTGTGCATATATGTATATATTGGTAGTATGTAAACAATCGCTTGACTTGTGCTGACTGTGCGGGCTTTATGTGAGAAAACAAGTCCTACTTACAAGTTGCAAACTTAAAAGCTTTCATACACTCAGCTTCTAACGTTTTAAACTTGCACTGGCGCTTTACCTGCAATATATTTAGTAGTTGTGAGATGTAGAAGTGCCTAAGCCTTTTATAAAGATACAAATATATCTCATTGTTGTCTGGCACTCACTATTACTTATGCTTTTACGATAAAGCTGAGATCGATCGAATTGTCTGCTGTGAGCATGAGTACTACAAACGCTCTCCTTGTTGTTACAAACATAGTATATGTATATATATATATGTGTGTGTGTGTGTTCTTGTAAGAGTTTGCGCGTGTGCTGTTGGCCCACCTTTAAGTAGTGCTGCTGCTCAGCAGTGTATGGCCAGGCCGTCTAGCGACCAGCGTGTTGACCAAGTTACAGTTGAGTTTTGAACTTGGCAGCGTGCGGTTGTGCCTTTCGCTTTGTTTGAATATCTACGTTACGTTTATTTAAAAATAACTGCAAAGTGTGTAATTTTAGGTGAAATATAGTAAGAAACGGTGATTAAAAAGCTCTCTTCGCTTGCTAAAAGCAAACTTAAGCAAAAGTAAATTTTAAATAAATTGTTTTTAAAGTAATTATATGAAAACATTCTATTATTTAATTTTTTTTCGACGTAAAAGTGTGCCAACCATAAATATTATACAAATTTTAAACTGCAGTTACTTATTTACAAATGTACATACAAAAAAACAACAGCTATAAAATTTGAAACAGTTGTGTAAAGTGTAATTGAAAGCCAATAAACGGAACAATTGCATTTGTGTTTGTGTGCTCATGTGTGTGTGTTTTGCTTTTGTGTATGTGCATGTGCAGAGTAGAACTTCCAGACGTTGGTGTTTGCTGCACTACATTGCCCGCTAGGCTAACTTGTTGAAGCGCTACAGACAGTTGCGGTTTCAATTTCAATAACAACAAGTTGGAGTTGCAATATTTGTTGTTGCAAACGGTACTGCCAGCGAAGCATGTAGTTTTCGCACATGGAAATAAATAAATGTACTGCATATTATTTTACAAGTAACAACCTTTGAAAATTTATTGTAAACAATACTGCAAAAATATTTCTTAAATAAAAAATAAAATCTTATGCACATTAAGTAAACATTTTGAGGTTATATGCGTGTGCTGATATAACTTAACTGAGTGTATGGACACTGCGAAACCAGTTATAATTTTTATAGACTTTTAAAATTAAAAAATATATTAATAAAATGCTATAGAATTTGAAAATGCATAAACACTTAAAAAAGTAATAATAAATAAGTTCCTAGAAATCAGAAATATAAACAAAGATTGAATAAGTCAATAAGAAAAAATCAAAGTAAATAAAATAAAAATAAAATTTCACAATAAAAAAAATGAGTTAAAAAAACACATAAATAATAAAAAAATTGTTTAAAAAACTAAATAAAAAAATGAAAAAATATATATTTAAAAAAAAAAGTAAATAAAAAGCACGGGTTTTAAGTAACCTAAATAAATAAGAAAAAATAATACCACAAAGCTTTTTAATAAAAGATATGTATATTTTTAACAAAATAATAATATTAAACATATAATATTACATTAAATAAAGTTTTAGTAAAGGAATAATATAAAAAGTACTATTAAAAACTATTAATGATACTGAATTAGAATTAATGAAAATCAGTTATAAACTTATAAAAAAAAATCAACAAATAAAAAAATGAATTATTTAATAAATAATATAATGAAATTGTTAATAAAAATTCGAGTTTTTAGAACATACTATAATACTATTAAACTTTGAATATAAAAACGTATACCATATATACCATATCAAAATAAAAATTATATTAAATACATAATACAATATTAAATAAAAACAATTTTAATATGTGTATAAAATAAAAAAAACTGTATTACATAAACATAAAAATGTATAATAATAAAAGTTAATTACAAAACTTTTAAAATATCCACAAATTTGTAAAAAAATAAATAAATAATATAACAATAGTATTAATAAAAGTTCCAGCTTTTAGGCTGTCACTAAATAAACATGGAAAATAAATACCACAAAACTTTTGTAGAAAAAAATATATTGATATTTTTCAAGAAAATAATAATATAAAATATATAACACAAATAAAAGTTTAATAAAGTAAAAAAATAAAATAAAAAATTATTATTATTTATTAAATTAAGCCTATTAATAAATTCAACAGTTTGGCTAATAATTTTGCTTTTTTAAGTGAATATTAATAAATAATATTATATTATATTATTTAATAATAAAAAAATTATTAAAAAGTCCTCAATAAATAGATTTTAAATCTATAAATAAAAATTATTAAAAAAAAAAATATTATACTCAGTAGCAACATGTTGCAAGAGTATAAAAAGTAAATAATAATAGAAATTATGGAATTTTCTAAAGAAATTTTTCTATTGTTTAATAAATAAATTCTAAATTTTTTTAATTTTCTTGTAAAAATTTAATTATGATGCTAAATAACATATGAAATTTGTTTAAATTTTTACAATAAATTTATATTATAACTGATATAAAAATTTAAAAGAAGTTGTTGCCGAACATGGTTTCAGTAAAAATGTGAGTATTGATTTAATTATTATTAAATTTTTAAAGTTTAATTTATAACATTTAATTATTAGTAGTACTATATTTTTTATATATAGAATAACAACTTTACTTGAAATTTATTTGAATAAGTTTATAAAAAATAAATCCAAATCTCTATTACGTGATTAAGGTGAAGTGAAGTAGATACTTCCTGATAGAATCGATATAGTCTTCGCACCTATTTGATAAAAAAAACACTTAAAAATGAATTAATATTTGCTAAAATAATATGTCAATATAAATTAACATTTTGTGACTAATTCTTTATTTAATAAAAAAATTTATTTAATTAAAACTTCGAATATTTTGGTTTTTAGCAGTAAGTTTCGTTCCACTGAAGGTTTTAATTTACAATTATCAGGTACTGAAAAGCATACCGAAATTAAATAATTAATTTTTCTTGGGTTAGGTGAGGTTAGGTTAGGTCGTAGGATATATATTTGGCTTTTTTGTTACCCAAAAATTTCATTATCATCAGCATCACCTCATAGATCGACGAAACATTTTAAGCTCACCTCAAATTTATTAAGGCGGTTAATATCAATCCCAGCCTTTTCAATCTCAGTCAGAAAAAAGCCGGTAGTCATGGTACTATTAAAATCAAATTATAAAAGAATTTTTCCTAATTATATTACAAGAATAACATAGGTTTCTTAAAACATTATATTTATGTTCTGAAAAATCTGTTATGTTATCAAACATTTTTACTACGCTTTCGCAACTACGGTTTATACGACAAACCAAATTGTGCTACACGAGTTCCAAATCTATCGCTTCAACTGCCAATTGCTTTTGCACTTTTTTGCACATACGAGCTTTTCTATGTAATTTGGCTTTTTCAACACCACTCGCCTATTACACATATTATTACTTAACATTTCCTTTGCACTTTGCGCTCATCATACCAACATTCGATTAATCCGATTTGCGTGCAATGAACTACAATTGGCTGTTGCCACCAATTTCAAAAAAAGTTAAGTATTTTATGTATTTTTTTTTGCATTTGTATTTGTGTATCAAGGTGTGCTTTGGTAGGTATAAATATTGTACATACATATAAGTAATATATATAAGCTCCAGTACTTATTTTTCTGTGTACAATTTATTTTGTGGTTTACAGCAAATTTAATTTACACCAAAGTTTGTTTTTGCCTTTCGGTATTGTAGAAAATTTCGCTTATGTGTATTGAGCTGTGAAGAAATGAGTTTCGCGCAATGTTTTTTCTGTGTTTCTTTTTTGATCTTTTCTTCCTAAATGCGTATTATTTTTGTGTGAAAATGAAATTAAGTCGTTTTATATAGTTATTTGGTCATTTAGTTGCAGTCTTACTCATAAGTTAAATTAAAAAAAGATATTTTTATAGAAACTTTAACACTTTTATGTGTGTGGTGGTTTTGAATAAATGAATTTGCAAAAAAAAAAAATAAGCTTATAAAATTTGTGTTGATTTCATAGCTGAATTTATATAATGAGATCATAATGAAATCATCTGCCAAAAGTAATTATTTTTCTGTGAGCTGACATGAAATTATTTTGTTTTTAAGCAATATATGCTTATGTACGTAGAAATAATCATAAAGCAATAAAAAAGAAATTTTTTTGAATCTGTTCCGGTTCTTCTGCTTCTATTATAAAAATAAATTGTATTTTTCTGCTTCGGCTTTCCGTATAGCTATAAAAATTTTGCTTAAGCCGACTATAAAATATCTTGGCAGTGCCTTAATCAGTACAAATTTCGCGTGCCCATCGCCGGATAGATTTTTCGATACCACTATATATAAAAATTTCTCGGTCTCATACTGATATCATGGGTGTAAATGCTGTAAATTTTGCGCGCTTCGCGAAAAGTATCGCATTATGCCATGACTAGCGCGGACAGTGCAAAAATACAAAGCACACAACGTCCATCATAAATCAGTTTTATGCTTAAAAGCAGAAATTAGAAATACAACCTAGTACCTACTTTAGTCACACATATTTGCCGGCACAAGCAATTAAGTGCTTAGATAAATTATAGGTGGTTCTCACCGAAGAAAGTGAACAATTATCAAAGCGCACATCGCAAACCGCCGACGTTTAATTATTTAATTAAAAACGGATAGAACCGTAACTTGCGGTAACTTCTGCAAGAAATACACACAAAAACCACGCTGGTACTAGCGAGCACATACGCTAACAAAGCGCAAAGCGTTGCTTTAGGTTGAGTAACTAGCAGCGGGACGTCTTAGTTAAGTATTTGAAATGAGAGGCAATTTGACTTTTATGCCACTCATATGAGTATGCTAAATAGCTATTCGCTAACACGCCTTTTAATTTATGTGGAATACTTTTTTTTTTTTAAAGTTCTTTAAGACACTTAAGCACGCCATGTTACCTAAGCGCTAAGTGGTTGAGTTTACGAGTAAGAGGGTATTTAGCATTGATATAAGTGGGAACGTTTCAACGGCATATGTTGTAGATTGTAACATAAGGGCTTTGAAAATTGCAAACTAAGTTTTCTACACTTGAAGTTACACGACTTGAAAATTTTTTTTGGTTTTCTATCATTAAAATATTTGATTACTGTTTTTTTATTCAAACGAGAAATAAAACAAAAAACGTTAACTTTGGAACTGAAACGAAGTTATAATACCCTTCATAGGGACATTTCTTATAGCATAAAAGGGTATAAAAAAGGTACTAATTCGCGTATATACTGACAGACGGACCTGGCCAAACCGATTCAGCTGGTCACGCTTATCATTTATATATATATTTTATAGGGTCTCCGACGTTTACTTCTGTGTGGCAGACATACTATACCTATACAATACTATATATTTGGGGTATAAAAGAGCTAAGCTAAATAAGGATAAACAATGAAGGCTTAATGTAAGCTGAGAAAATTTTGATAGCATTTTTAATTGGATTAGAAAAAGAAAGAGGTATGCTTGATTATGAT